AACACCCCCACTGGGGCCTTCGGTGGAGCTCCCTATGGGGCCACGAAACGCTGCCCTGGGTGGGGGAACCGCATGCGAACACCCCCACTGGGGCCTTCGGTGGAGCTCCCTATGGGGCTACGAAACGCTGCCCTGGGTGGGGGAACCGCATGCGAACACCCCCACTGGGGCCTTCGGTGGAGCTCCCTATGGGGCCACGAAACGCTGCCCTGGGTGGGGGAACCGCATGCGAACACCCCCACACTGGGCCTTCGGTGGAGCTCCCTATGGGGCTACGAAACGCTGCCCTGGGTGGGGGAACCGCATGCGAACACCCCCACTGGGGCCTTCGGTGGAGCTCCCTATGGGGCCACGAAACGCTGCCCTGGGTGGGGGAACCGCATGCGAACACCCCCACTGGGGCCTTCGGTGGAGCTCCCTATGGGGCTACGAAACGCTGCCCTGGGTGGGGGAACCGCATGCGAACACCCCCACTGGGGCCTTCGGTGGAGCTCCCTATATGGGGCCACGAAACGCTGCCCTGGGTGGGGGAACCGCATGCGAACACCCCCACTGGGGCCTTCGGTGGAGCTCCCTATGGGGCCACGAAACGCTGCCCTGGGTGGGGGAACCGCATGCGAACACCCCCACTGGGGCCTTCGGTGGAGCTCCCTATTGGGCCACGAAACGCTGCCCTGGGTGGGGGAACCGCTGCGAACAACCCCACTGGGGCCTTCGGTGGAGCTCCCTGGGTGGGGGAACCGCATGCGAACACCCCCACTGGGGCCTTCGGTGGAGCTCCCTATGGGGCCACGAAACGCTGCCCTGGGTGGGGGAACCGCATGCGAACACCCCCACTGGGGCCTTCGGTGGAGCTCCCTATGGGGCCACGAAACGCTGCCCTGGGTGGGGGAACCGCATGCGAACACCCCCACTGGGGCCTTCGGTGGGGTTCCCTATGGGGCCACGAAACGTGTGAGGGGTGTGCCGACATGGGTGGTGGGGAGGCATGCGAACCCTAAGAGGGAGGAGGGCGAGGAGGAGGAGGAGAAACGCGGGGCACCGTCTCTTCAAAACGAGGACCCAACACCACAGGATGGTTGGGAAAAACACTATACCAGAACCACTACACAGCAAACGTTACGGCAGAAACACTACGCAGGAAGCACTACGCAGGAACCTCTGCACAGGAAACAATACGCAGGAACCACTACGCAGAACACGCGACGCAGGAAACATTACGCAGGAAACACTACGCCGAAACCATTACGCAGAAAACATTGCGCAGGCAACATTGCGTAGGAAACACGGCGTAGGACACACCGCGTAGGAAGCATTGCGTCATAAGTATTTCGTAGGAAGTACTTCGCAGGAAACATTGCGTAGGAAACACTGCGTAGGAAACATTGCGTAGGATGCATTGCGTAGGAAACATTGCGTGGGAAACACGGCGTAGGCAACTCTGTGTGGGAGACATTGCGTAGGAAACATTGCGTAGGAAGCACTGCGTGGGTAACACTGCGCGCAGGAAACATTGCGTAGGAAACGCTGCGTGGGAAACACTGCGTAGGAAACACTGCTCGTAGGAAACACTACGCAGGAAACACTACGCAGGACACACTACGCAGACCACGTTTAAAAACAACACTGCGTAACAAAACAAACACAAACGACGTAAAACAAGCAACGTCAAAAACACAGCGCAAAATACACGACGACCAAAAGAATGCGCTTTAAACAATGCGTAAACACACTGCGTGGAAACACTGCGCAGGAAGCACTACGCGGTAGTAATATAAGGAAACGCTACGCAGGAAGCACTATGCAGGAAATCACACGTAAAGATCACCACCCACCAAACCACCCCAACCCAACCCGAAGGCTCAAATTTACCCTCGATTTCCAGTGTGGGGGGGGTCGGGAAACGTTGAAAAAACACATGTGGAACCCTTACCCCCCCCCCAACCCGAAATTCGGGTCTTCGGGTTGGGTTGGGGTGGTCTGGTAGGTAGTCAAAAGAGCACAGCGTAAGAAAGCGCGTAATAATAAAATTGCGCAAACAAACACCGCGTAACAAGAAAAACACCGCGGAACAAAAAAACACAGCGTACACAACAAACACTACGCCAGACACGCTGCGCAAGACACCTTACGTACAAAACAAAAACATGCGCTGTGCAGGAAACACTACGTAAACAAACGCTGCGTATAAACAACAAGAACATCGCGTAGAAGACACTGCGTGCAAAACCATTCGATGGAGACATCCCGCAGAAAACGCGACGCAGGAAGCACCAAGCAGAAACCATTACGCAGGACACACCACGCCGAAAACATTACGCAGAAAACATTAAGCAGACATCACTGCGCAGGAAGCACTGCGTAGGAAAGACTGCGTAGGAAACACTGCGTAGGAATCACTGCGGTTCCCAACGCCCGTGCGTTGTCGATACTGCGCTCTGGACATTACGCTGCTGACACTACGCTGCTGACACTGCGCTGTTGAAACTGCTCTGCTGCCCGTCGCGCCCAGAACTGCCCAGAATGAGTTTGCTGAAAATCGCCGAAAAGCGTGCGTTGTTGACACTGTGCTGTTGACGCTACGCTGTTGACATTGCGCTGCTGACGCTACGCTGTTGACGCGACGCTGTTGACACTGCGCTGCTGACACTACGCTGTTGACGCGACGCTGTTGACACTACGCTGTTGACACTACGCTGTCGACACCACGCTGTTGACACTACGCGGCTGGCACTACGCGGTTGACACTACGCTGTTGACAATACGTTGTTGATACTACGCTGTTGACGCACTACGCTGTTGGCACACTACGCTGTTGACAGTACGCTGTTGACGTAACTCACGGTGAACCCGCACTTTCGAGCGGTGCAGAAGCGCGCGTCTCAGCGCCAGCCAGGTGTTCGGGCGGCGCGGGCGCCTTCGACGCGTTCTACGCCGGCCTGGCAGGCCAGCCTCTGCGCCGGCTCTGCCTGGGCTACAACGTCTTGGGGCCGCCTGGCGCCAGCGCGCGGGTGCCTCAGCGCGTGCTGGCCTTCAGAGGAGAAGACGTACCGACCCGGCTACTCTTCCCTCGTGTTCGCCTCCCTGTTGGGCTTCCTGGGAGGCCCTCGTCGCCGCGGCTGGGTTCGCTTCGAAATTCTGGTCGGGGCGCGCCCGGGGGGAGGTCCGTGGAGCAACAATCGGCACCTTTCGGCTTCCGACCCCGGGATGAGCGGCGCGGCAGGGGGTCCCTGCGGCTCGCTGGCCTCTGGATTGCTGTGGTGTTCGACGGCTCTTTCCCTCGCCCGCGTGCGCAGCCGTCATACGTCATAACTATGCCCCGGGGCACGTGAGCGGATGGGCGGTCCGGCGGTGTCCTTGATCTAACCTTACGATGCATCGTGCCTTGCGTTTCGTGATCAGTGCCAGTGGGGGCGCCGTCGTGGGCAAGCACCTCGGGGCTCCCTAAGCGGGTCGTGGGCAAGCACCTTAGGACTCCCTAAACGGGGATGTTGATAAACTGGGGTATTGGACGCGCCCCAGAAAGCCTCAGCCGTGGGTCGAGACACACTCTCTACTCTTCTTGGTCTCCCAGATGGGGTCCGAGCATATGGGGTTGGAGGATCGCGCCGTATCGCCGATGCATCGCCGATGCATCTCCGATGCGGCTCGATGTGGAGCCCGATTTCCTCCACGCGGACGGCGCCGATGCATCAGTGATGCACCAATAATACGGCGCGATCCCTCGACCCCAGCTGCTCCGACCCCATCTGGAAGGCCTCGAGTGGGCCGTAGGGCGAGGCACTCTCCATCGGACACTTCATCCTCGCGGAACTGTCAAAGTCTCAGCGGTCGGCCACGTCCTGGTGGGCCCCCTCTCTCTAGGCCTCTTCGGAGAGGAAGGAGGAGGTGGGTGAGGGGAGGACGACGACGAGGAGGTGGAGGACGACGAGGAGGCGGGCGACAACGACGAGGAGGAGGAGGAGGACGACGACGAGGAGGGGGAGGAGAAGGAGGAGGAGGAGGAGCGACGACTATCAAGAAGGGGGTAGGGCAAGGAGGAGGGGGGGACGGTCGAGTAGACGAGGAGGGGAGGAGGAGAGGAGAGGAAGGATGGAGAGGAGGAGGAGGAGAGGAGGAAGGAGGGGAGAGGAGGAGGAGGCGGAGGAGGAGGAGGGGCCGACCGAGGGGACGACGAGGAGGCCCGGAGCGACTCGCACGAGTGGGCCAACGCAGCGAGGGCGGATGCAGGACGGGGCGAGCCGGGCTGCCCCGAAACCCCCAGCCGCGGGGGGGACGGTCGGGGCAACTCGGGATGGGAGGAGGAGGAGGAGGGTGGAGGAGGAGGAGGAGGGAGGAGGCGGAGGAGGAGGAGGGAGGAGGAGGAGGGAGGAGATGGGAGGAGGAGGAGGAGGAGGAGGAGGCGGAGGAGGAGGAAGAGGAGGAGGGGGAGGGGGAGGAGGACAAGCTAGGTGCGCTCGCGTCATATCTGACGTCCTACCCCTCCCTCCCATCCCTTACCATGGCGCTGATTTTCTCGATCCGCGGACGCGTGTCGTAGCGGACCTGTGGCTCCGCGCGCGCGTGCGTAGTGGGTGGTGGTGCGCGTGCGTGCGTGCGTGCGTGTGTGCGTGGTTGTGGTGGTGGTGGTGGTGGTGGTGGTGGTGGTGGTGGTGGTGGTGGTAGTGGTGGTGGTGGTGGTGATGGTGGTGTGGTGGTGGTGATGGTGGTGTGGTGGTTGCTGGTGGTGGTGTTGGTACTGGTGCTGGTGCTGGTGGTGGTTGTGGTGGTGGTGGTGGTGGTGGTGGTGGTGGTGGTGGTGGCGGTGCGGCGCGGTGGTGGGGGGCGGATGGGCGCGCGAGAAAAAGGCCCGCGCTGGGGCGAGAACGCCATCCTGAACGACGGAGGCCAAACACCGATCCGAAAATGAGGCCCACGCTGCAGCGGGAGCACGATTCGGAACGATTCGGGAGCAGAAAGGAGGCCGGCGCCTCAACGAGAGCAGCATTTTGGGAAAAAATGACGCCGGCGCCTCAGCGAGAGTCGTTTCCCGGGATTTCCCGGGAATCCTGTGTGTAAAAAAACAGTACGCGGAGGGTGCGCGGCCATCACCCGGACGCCATCAGGGGAAGAGGGAGAGTATATTCATATTGAATCATGTGCCGGCTGCGGAGGCGCGGAGGGGGGGGGAGTGAGGAGGAGGAGCGAGGAGGAGAGGAGGAGGAGGGGGAGGAGGGAGGAGGAGGAGTGAGAGGAGGAGGAGGAGGAGGAGGAGGAGGAGGAGGAGGAGGAGGAGGAGGAGGAGGAAGGAGGAGGGGGAGGACGACGACACGAGCCTTTCAATCTGGGCGTTTGTCCTGAATTTCGGCTTGTGGAACGGGCCTTCGGGCCACAGGACCATCAAAAAATGCATCCGGGGCGAGAAGCTGGCTCTGGGGAAGGGGTCGGAATCCGTGTGGCCGCGCATTGAACAAAACATGTTGGCGGATGTCTGGGTAGTCTCAGGGGGGATGCATCGACCCCCGATCGCCCATCCATCGCCGATAGGGGCCCGATTGCCCACCCCGCCCAGGAACGCTGGGATTCGCCGTCTGGGGACAATGGCCGATCTATCGGCGAGGTATCGCCGCTCCCAGGTCGACGTCTCCCTCCTGAGCTGGGGGCCCCCCGGACGTTGCCCCTCACCAGGGGGGTGGAGCCCGAGGCGGTCAGTGCCAGGCGCAGGAGCACCAAGATCGGCAATCAGCGCGCTCGCTGTTCTCACAGGATGGCCAGTCAAAACAGCGGAACGGTCGGGATTCTTGACGCTTCGCGTATCCCCACCAGCCCATCCAAAAACGATGCCCAGGCGAATTGCGGTGATCAGGGAAGTGAGGGAGCATACAGAGTAGCAAAGGGCTTGGGGACCCGTCTTACCCAAGAGGGCGAGGATGGAGGAGGAGTCGGAGGAGGATGAGGAGGAGGAGGAGGAGGAGGGGGAGGAGGGGCAGCAGGTGGGAAAAGTGGGAGGAGGGAGGAGGGAGGAGGGGGAATAGGCGGATGATGAGGAGGAGGGGGAGGAGGAGGATGAGGAGGGGGAGGAAGAGAAGAGGAAAGGAGGAGGATGAGGCTGATAAAGTGGAGGAGAAGGAGGAGGAGTAGGCCGACAAGGAGGAGGAGGAGGAGGAGGAGGAGGAGGAGGAGGATGAGAAAGATGAGAAGGAACAAGAACAATGACGTGCACAAGAGCCTCCTAGGATGTCCCTTGGAAGTTGTTTTGGAGTCCTCTTGGAGCGCCTGGGGGATTCTTGGATGCCTCGGGGATCCTCTTGAGGCCTCTTGGGGGTCTAGGGAGCCTCTTGAGGGCCTCTTGGGGACCTCTTGGGGCCTCCTGGGCGCCTCTTGAGGCCCTCTTGGGGCGCTCTTGGGAGCCTTGGGAGCGCTCTTGGGGCCATCTTGGAGGTGATCGATCAAAGGAAAGGGGTCCCCCAATTAGCCTCCCGCCTCGGGAGCCTCTAAAATCTGCCGCAACCCTAGTAAAACCGATGATTTTGGCTTCCTCGCCGAGGCCGTTTTGGACGCTCCAACTACCAGCGAACCCCCCCGTCCAGGTCCAGGGGAGGGGGTTAGAGGGAGGGGTAAACCCCTCCCCGAAGGGGAAGAAGGGAAGATGGAAGAGGAAACTCCCGGAACCACCTACGCCCAGAGGGCTGGTGGGAACTTTTGGATAGCGCGTCGCTCCGCCGGTTCTGGCCCACCAGGCTTCGGCGCGACACGCTATCCATTTCTGGGTCCCCGAGCGTCACTGTTCTGAGCCTTTCCCGACCTCCTGCCCGCGGAGCGGAGCGACGCGCTATCCTCTTGCAGGGGATAGCGTGTCGCCGGGGCCGCCGCAGCAACACGCTAAGCAAAAATTCCCGACCGTAGTTGGCTTTCGGGGGCCTCCTCGTCGCCACGGCTGGACGCAGCTCGGAAAACTGGTGCGTTCAGACCCCAGACGGGGTCCAGAGGTCGAGGCTGAGCTGTCGTTCTCTCAACTTGTCCTGCTTCGATGTTCGCTGGCGTGCCGAGGCTCATGGCGGCAGCGGCGTCGTGGGCAGGCAGCCTCGAGCACCTCAGTGTCGAGATGAACGGCATCGGGGACGACGCGTGCAGGCGGTGGCGCGCAGAGTGGGCAGCAAGGGATCTCTGGGGCCATCTGATTCGATGTCGGCACTGTTCGGAAGCGTGGGCGGCCGTGGAGGAACGTTGAATGGGGCGGCGGATGTTTCATTGGGGTCATACAACTCTCTTGGAGGAGGAGGAGGAGGAGGAGGAGGAGGAGGAGGAGGAGGAGGAGGAGGAGGAGGACAAGTTAGGCGCGCTAGTGTCACATCTGAACTCATACCCCTCCCTCCTATCCCTTACCATGACGTAGATCTCCTCTCTACTCGCACTATCGACTGTCGAACAGGGCAATCATCCCTAGGGGCGATGCATGGTACAGCACGACATAGCATGGCGTAGAAGAGCACGGCAGAGTGCAGCATGTCATAGCACAGTATGGCACTGCGTAGTGAAATTTTGCACCACAAAGCATTGCAACGCAAAGCATGGCATCGCACAGCGGCACAAAACACAACACCGCACTGCATGCCATGGCATGGCACCCGGTTCCTTGGGGGGTAGATGGATCGTCGTCGAAAGATCCGGTCCGGTCTGGAGTCGCGGCTCCATGTCCAGCTCCCTGGGCTCCCTGGAAAGCTCCCCACGAGGTGGGGCTGATGGACAACACCCGCTGGCTCTGCTTTCAACATCGCCTTCTCAAAGCAGAAACAGGGCTTCCGCCTGATACTTCCTGAAAAAACGACGCCCGCAAGTTTGGGGGGGGGGGGTCCACGGCCTAAAAATTCAACGAATCGACAGCAGATGTATAATCACATCCGATGTTTTTTTGGGGTGGCACTTTCTAGATTGGAGGCTTATTTGGAAGGGCCGGAAACGCCTGCGCTGTAGCGGGGGCACGATTTGGACCAACAAGAGGCGCAGAAATTGTGCCAGCGTTGTAGTGGGAGTAAATTTTTCAAGGGTCGGAAGGCTTATGATTGCGAAAACACTTTCTGATAATGCGAACTCCAGCCAATCAGTGTATAAAAAATAATGCCCGAGGCTTCTGATCGTGAGAAACACACTATGGCATGCCAACTCCCGGCAATGCTCTGTGTTAAAAACGATACACGGACGCCATCAGGGGAGAAAGGAGATTAGTATTCATATTGTGTATGTGTGGAGGAGGAGGAGGAGGAGGGGGAGGAGGAGGAGGAGGATGAGTGCAAATTCAGGAGTTATAGGTCCCTGCAAAGATTGATTTGTATTGCGGGAAGTGTCCCATTGGACGACAACCGTCTGAGAATCCTTGATCGTGCCAAAACACCGCTCCTGGAATTTCAGCGCCGCGAGGCAACGTGACTGCTGTGTCCTGACAGTCCTAAACTGTGCCAGAAATCTTTCCTCGGACTGTTGCGTCCTGAGAACGTGACTGTTGCGTCCTGAGAACCTTACATCGTGCCAGGACGCCGTTCCTGGGACTTCAACCATACGGATCCTTGAACATGCGACAAGCTGTCAGGACGAATTTGGCGAAAGCCACGTAAAGTTCCAAAAGGAAAAAGACGTCCTCCATCTTTGAACCTGTTGCAAATTTGTATGACGAATGCGCGCGGCGCTGAGACGAGAGCCGCATTTTGAAACCCACCTGTCCTGTTTTCAAGGAGCTGCTGCAAACCTTTGAAACCTATGTGAGCGGCGCTGAGGCGAGAACGGCATTTTGAAAACGGCCCGCCCACCATTGTAACTTCAGGGTCATAAATGGTGGAGAAGTCTCAATCGAAACGCCCAGCCCGCCCTACCGACACGCCTGGGGGTACGACAGGGAGAATCTCTCTCTCTATATATATATATATATACACGCGTGTATACACACACATATATATATATATATATATGGTGAAGGGATTGAGGAGGAGGAGGAGGAGGAGGAGGAGGAGGAGGAGGATATGGAGGAGGAGGAGGAGGAGGAGAAGGAAGCAAGGACGGAAGGAAAGAAGGAAGGCTGGAGGAACCAAGGAATGGAGGAAAGAGAAGGATGAGGGCAAACATTTGCAAGGCCAAATCCTTGGCCTGGGATACATATGCCGTAAAGCCTGAAAACAGAAATAGGAAAAGGAACAGGAGGAGCATGAGGAAATGGACGAGGGTGAGGTGGGAGGGGGGGCCTGGATTGAGGAGGGAGGAAGGACAAGGAAAACAAGAGGGAGGAGGAGATGAGGAGGAGGAGGAGGAGGAGGATGTCGGAGTATCTAATAGGAGGAGGGTTGCGTTTGAGTGTGAAAAGGCTGAATGATGGTAGCAGGAGTATTATTCTAGGAGTATGCTTTTAGTATGCTGATCTTATCGGCTGATTCTTTTTTGTTCCTTGGTCTGATGTATTAGGTTCGGGGCGGGCGGAGGAGGAGGAGGAGGGGAGTCGGCTGCTCTATACGAGCTGTACCACTTTCTGGGAGGCCCAGCCCGGCCGTGATTCGACTCCAAGGCGGCCACGGATGGAATGGCCGAGCAGCCTGGCACTTGCCAGAAGCGGCCGACCTCGCAAAGGACGGAGCCCGTTTGGCCCACGGTTCCCTGGACCAGTTCCCGTCAAACTGGTTGCGATGCAGGGGTTCAGGCCGCCCAGATGTGGCCGGCGCAGTCTGGAGCCCGGTACCCTCCATCCCGACGCCGCCGGTGCATCGGCGCTTGCGGTGCGATCCTTCGGCGCCATGTGATACGGCCCCCTCTGGAGGCCTCCAAGGGAGCAGAGGCTAGCCTTCGCTCCTAGCAGCCCCGACCTTCTTCCCCTCCGCCCCCTCTCTTCCTCACTCGCCCACTCTGTCCCTCTCTCCCGTGATCCTCGCGCAAAGGATCCTTGTGTCAAATGCGCGGGTGTGTAGGCCGCACGTGCGCATTTTACCTGGGAGCGCGGGCCCCTCGAACTCGTACGGGTGACCACCGTCTCGGGAGCGCGGACCCGTCGTTTTCTGGGGAGAAGCCGTTGCCCCTGGACCTCGGATTCACAGCACTGCGTGCTCTGCGGGGCCCAGGGGCGTGCCGAAGACGGCAGTCGAGGAAGCAGCCTGTGCTGCCGTGCAGCCTGGCGCCCTCGCGCAGAGGGTCCAGCGGACCCCTGCCGGGCGTCTGCCTGGCTCGTGCGTGCCAGCCTGTCCCTGGAGACTTCCCAGCGCCTCGCCGTCCGGCGGGGAGGAGAGAAACGGCATAAGCACAAGCTTCTGGAGCTCCGCGCGGAATTCTTGGGTCGGCGCTGGACCTCCCTCCCTAGCGCGCGGAGCGCTCCAGGGGCGGCGCCAGAGGCGCCTCAGGGGAGGGCCGAGCGCCGATGCAAGAAGTCCGCGCGGAGCGTCAAAGTGTATGTCTATGCAGTTGTATGTTCCCGTCGACTGGCGGGATAGGTCGTAGCAGGGCAGCTGCCACCCTCCTAGTGGTCGCTGTCGCATCGTCCGCTGCGGATGACTGGGCGACCGCGGCGCTGGCGAAGGGGGACGCATCACGTAAGGGGGCCAGCACGGCCAAGCAGCACTGGCGTGTTTTATTCCAGAGTTGTGGGGAGGAGGAGGAGGGATGAGGAGGAGGAGGAGGAGGAGGAGGAGGAGGAGGAGTGAGAGGAGGAGGAGGGAGGCAGCACCCACCGGGACCTCATGCCACCAGGAACCAGAAACCAGGAGGAGGAGGAGGAGGAGAAGGAGGAGGAGGAGGAGGCGGAGGAGGACGAAGAGTAGGAGGAGCAGTAGTAGGAGGCGGAGGAGGAGGACGAGGAGGAGGATTGAATGAGGAGGAGGCTTGGAGGATTGGAGTTGGAGGAGGAGGAGGAAGAAGAGGAGGAGGAGGAGGAGGAGGACCTGTTTGACCTGTTTGGTAACGGACTCTGTTCTAGTGAGGCGGCGAAGCCACATGCCGCCGTGGCCTGCTCGCCTCCTCGACGCCCGCGCGGCGTCCTGCGAAAGGCGTCCCGACGAGGGACCGCGCATCCCCGTGCCATTAGGCGGCTGACTCACCACCCTGGGGACCTTAGTCACTCCTGCCAGAGCGCCGAGGACAACGAAACCTCGGGAGGCGAAGGACTAAGGGGAGAGCCTTCGAACCGCCGTGGCTGGCTCGTCTCCTCGGCGCCTTCGCAGCGCCCCGGGGCCACCAGCCGCCATCCCAGCGGGCGGGTGGACCGTGGTTGGACTGTGGACCGCAGGAGAGGGAAGAAGCCAGGGGGGGACGGGGGCCCCAGGAGGAGGAGGGCCACCAAGTAGGGCGAGCCGCAGGGACCCCGCTCCAGGGGGGGGCCTGGCAACGGGGGGCATCCCGAGCCCGCCCCACCCAGAGCTCCACCCCCACCCCCAGGGAGGAGGAAGGCGAAAGCGGAGGAGGGGGGGGAAGGGACGAGAGAGGAGCCAAGGAACCAACGACGAGCGGAGGAGCGGGGCACAGTCCCCCCCACCGCCGACCCGCCACCTCTGGGTGCGGCGCTCCCGACAACCCAAAATGAGCCCCTCCTCAGCTGGTCCTTGGGTCGGTCGCCCACTGCATCCGTCCAGGTGCAGCCTCTGGTTTTGCTACCCCGACATTCACCCGGCAGTCGACCGCCCGCCAGCTCCGTTGGCGGGAGTGCCTCGACCATCCCCCAGTTCTTGAGGATGAGGAGGAGGAAGAGGAGGATTGAATGAGGAGGAGGAGGAGGAGGAGGAGGAGGAAGAGGAGGTGGAGGAGGAGGGGGAGGAGGAGGAGGAGGAGGGGGAGGATTGAAATGAGGAGGAGGAGGAGGAGGGGGGAAGGGAGGAGGAGGAGGAGGAGGAGGAGGAGGAGGAGGAGTTGGAGTAGAAGGACAAAGAGAAGGATGCAGGGAGGGAGGGAGGGAAGCAGGGTGGAGGAGGAGGAGGATGAGGAGGAGGAGGAGTCCGTAGCCATTTTGGCTCAAGCCCATCTCAAGCCCATCTGGCCTCTGGCGGGCATCGGCCGTGACCGATCTTCCGCTCGGGGTCGATCGGCGCGCCCGCGGGGCCGATCATCGCGTCGATCGGCTCACGCCCGCTCGTGATAGGCCGCCCGCGGGGCCGGGCTTGCGCGCCGCGGCGGGTCGGCCATTCGCCGTTGCTGTAGCCGCGCCCCGCCCGCTGCTGCGCGCCCCAGGCGCGCCTGGAGGGGACCCAAAACCCCAGGAGCCCGCCTGGCACAGGCGGGAGAGAGCTCGCCCTGCCTCGGCTCGGGCCTTGCTTCGGGTGGTGGAGGCAGCCAGCGTCCGCAACGCCCACCACTCGGCGCAGCAGCACCAGCGCAACCAGCAGCACCTGCAGTACCACTACGTTGACGAGGTGGCGAACAGAAGCGCGAAGCCCGACGGACGCCGACCTACGGGACCTCCAGTTGATGGACAGCCATGGCCTTGGAGAATGCCAAAGCACCACGGCGACTCCGCTCAGGGCGGACAACAACGCAAGTACAACGGCAACGGACAGCGCGACGATCAGAAGCCGCACGACGACAAGCAGCCTGGCCACCTGAATGCCCACGACCTGGCAGAAGAATGGATGGAAGAGCTCTCGAAAAAAAGGGCAGCCTCGCGAAAGGGCCAGAGAAAACACAACATCGGAGCGCAGAGCAGCGACTACTACGACAACAACAGGGTCCACTTCAGCGTCAAGTAAGAAGTTGTTGGACGCATCTTGCCATCCACGATTGCTGTGGCACGCCAGCACGAGAGCTGCACTTTTCCACCCCGCGAGCCCGACATCAGAAGAATCTGGAGGGCCACCAACGTTTCGCGACTCGTGCGCCTAGCTGACTAGGTGACTGATGCAGTCCAGGCCCAAGTTGACCCGAGCAGATTGAAGCACGAAGTTAGCATTGCGACATGCATGATCGCCGCAATGACGGAACCAAGCGAGCGAGCCCATGATTACCGACAAAAGATCGACAACCGGCTGAACCGAAAGAGCGAGATCATGCAACAGAAGAAGGATCTCCCCAAGGAAGAGGACTACATCAACAACTGCATCGAAACTTCACGTGCCCTGGTCAAAGAATCTAAAGAGATGCGCGGCCTCAAGGATATGCTCGACGACTCTAGCTGAGACGGGGAAAGGGGGGGTATTGCCAAGGACGAAGCTACAAAGACAACGCACGGATGCACTCCACACCCAGCGAAGAACATCGACAATATGCCAGGCAAAGAACGAACATGCGAACAAGGACGCGTCGAAACAACGCGCAAGGCCCTCAACCAACGGCTCGACCAGCAGCAGTACTACCAGTCGGAGCATCACCAGCACCTCGATTACTTCGACGAGCAGCGCAGAGCACAACAACCACGCGATGATGAGCTCAAGGAATGCCATCTCGAATGCGCACGGCAGAAGCAGCAGCTCACCGATTACGAGCACGAGGTTGCCCAGGAGACCCCTCGACGTACCGCTAGTGCCCTGAAGCGCCAGGAACAAGCGGCAGGACGGGCGCTCACCGAGAAGCTCGAGACGGAGATGCAGCACAACCTACAACACCAGCTACGATCTGGACAATCGGTGAACGACGAGGGAGTACACCGCAAGGAAGTTGAGGATCTGAACCGCAGACTGCACAACGAGATGTCCTCGTTCGAGCACAGGTACCGCGAAGTGATGAACGAGAACCTTGCCAATGCCCACCGCCAGAAGATGCAATGCGACGAGGCCACCTGCAACCGTGTGAAACTGAGAGAGCATGCGCCATGCGACGTAGCCGCCCAGTTCCAACGCGAGTGCGAGGAGAAGCGCCAACTTCATGCTGCCGAAGGCAGAGAGCGGCTACATGCTGAACAGCTACCATCCGAGAATCTGCATGCCTACTCAGCGGAGATCCAGAAGAGAAGCATCGAATAACAGCAACGACAACATCATATCTACCACGATATGTTCAACGCGAGGCTGAGGCAGCAGATGGGGGCGGCCGAGGACGCCCACGCGAAGGAGCAACTATTCATCGAGCACGGAGAGGTTCAGGCTCAGTCCCCGGATAAGCAGCGCAACCAGTTTCGCCAGCTCGAAGAATGGAAGGAACATGAGGAGCAGCGGGCCAGGGGCTCCATCCTGATCCAACAGCAACGGCACCATCAACGGCACGAAGCATTCCAGGCGACGCTAGAAGCAGAAGCTCACCGTGATCGAGTTCAGGAAGAACATATCGAGAAAGCCCTGCAGCGAGCCAAAATCACCCCGGACGACTTCGACAAGGACATCTTCGGGGGGCTCACGCGCGACCTCCGAGATCGGGAGGGCGCGCGCCGCCGCATCCAGCACCTTGCCGAGATCGAGGAGACCCGCATCTAGAAGGAGACGGAGCAATGCCTGAGCGCCGTCATAGCAGGAATACATGACCAAACGCCACCCGAATGCGCCGTCTACATCTCGGAGCACCCCGGAAAAGCAAGGGCCGCGACCGCGACCGCGGCTCCAGGCACCCTTCCCGACAGCGGTTTCAGCTTCCAGAATCTGGGCTTCGCACCGCCGACCTCCCATGGCCCGACGCCGCCGCCCCCCGCCGCCGCCGCCCCCCCCCCCCCACCACCCCGGCGAGTGCCCGCAACGGACCCTTTCCCCCCCCATCCTGCGACGCTCTCGCCCGCGCCCATCGCCGACGGCGGATGCGGATCGTCGCCCCGCGAGAGTTCCAACGCCCCTATACCCGACGCTCGACGCGACTCTGACCCCGCCGACGACGATGCCCACGCCCCCACCCAAAGAGCGCGCTCGACGCCCATGCCCAGAGAGCAGCCCACCCCCCTCAGTCACGCACCTCCCGCCGCAATAGTTGACCCCGCCAGCATCTCCCCAGAAGTGCGCGCCACGTCTGCCCCCCCGTGCCTCCCGACGCGAGGGCGGCGGATCACCCCCTCTACCCGCCAACGCCATCCTAATCAATTTTGTCGACTGCGACGCCCCGCCCAGCGCGCCCACTCGCCGGCCCATCGCCAGTGTCAGCCCGACTCAACCATTCGATCCAGCACCGCCCCCACCCAGGCTCCACATCAGAACGCCCGAGCGTAGCAGTTCAGCCCGTCACCCACGAGCTGCATCAAAAAGACAGACAGATCCACAAGCGCAACGCCGAGCCACCCAAGACGGTCCGCATCTGCGACACTGGCGATGGATTCGTGGATCCTGGCGACAGGCAGCCCGGCTTCATAGGCCACGACGACGTGCCTGAGGGGCCGCGACCAGAAAACTAGATACGCCGATGCACCTTGGCGGGCAACTGTGCCAGGCATGCAGCGCGCGGCACGCGCCGGAAGAAGGGGCCCCGACTAAGCGCGTCGACCGAGACCCCTTCGGTGACGTTGCAGCGCTGACACCGGCGCTCCCCATCGAGCCCCTGGCAAGCTCTGATCGACCACGCGACATTCAACCATCGCCCGTTTCACTTATTACGTTTCCCACCCTAGCTTCGACTCGTGACCGCTGCGCACTGCCATTGGACACGGCAAAACAGCGACATGGCATGCAACAGTACCGCCATCCAACGCTCCAAAAAGACCAAAAGATATGGTCAGCTTCCAGAATCCACACCGCTCAACCCAACGCTCCGACGCAGGGAGACGGCGCCCTCAAGAGTGGGAGATCCACTCGCGCGCCGCTCCTGCACCACAACCTGTAGGCGGGGCATGAACGCCGGGACCGGGGGCACTCCCCTCAGCCCAACTCGTGGAGCGACAGCTGGGTGCCCAGGCTGGGGCGCCCACAACCCAGGCTCGATCCTCTGCCCCGCCCGCGCCACCGACCCCCCCCCCCCCCCCCCCCCGACACCCCTCCCAGGCCACCTCGCGCACAGGGCCGAGACCTCATGCCGCGACTAGCCACCTTGGCTCGAACACGACAATTTTATTCTTCTGCCCGCAGGCCCTGCGATGAGACGCCTCAAGAGCGACCGCCTCGCACCGGCGCGAGTTCTCACCAGGCCCCGCGCGACCACTCCATCGCGAGCAGCAGCTTCAGCGATATCGAGAAGACCTTCTTTATCGGCTCGTTTGCGCATCGTGGCAGCGTGCGCGATGACCGGCACGAGACCTTGGCGGCGAACTTCGAGGAGACGTAGCATCGCGACGCTAAGCTCGAGCGCGACCAGAACTCAACACACGACTTGGATCACCACAGCGATTCCGCCAACCGGGACCACGCCGATCACATCGACCACGTCGACGACGCGCTTGCACGACGACGTTTCGCTCGAGTACAACGGAAGCTCCGTACGCGGAACCAAGCATCCAGCACGCCCATCTTTCCAACCTGTAACCGCTTCTACATCTTCGAGGACATAGAGGAGGACCCTCAGCGCCTCGACGCCCAACCCGAGTTACCAGAACATCTTCAGCATGACAACGACCACCCTGCATCTGCCACACCTCGCAACCCCAGCCCCACGACGATAGCAACGGAGCTTGGGAACCAAAGGAACGGGCGGCAGCCCTGAACGCATCCCTGGACACCGATTTGCTTTCCCAGGGGACTACAGCTCGAGTACCAGCCAACCCTCCACGATCAACTTTGCACACTGCCGCAATACAGCCTTTCCGAGTTGACAAGCCTTCCTTCCAGGAATCCACCGCGCAGTTCCATGAGGACGACAACGAGCACAATCATCATCACACTACATGTCTACGATCTCCCAACACGCACCCACTGCCGATACCAGCAAAGAACGGCAGCAACGACCACCACGAACACCGCCAACACTACCAAGACGACGGCCCCGCACAACAACGACGCGACCAACGCAAACACGACCAGAGACCCCAGCACCAACCACACCAGCAGGCCGACACCGGTGAATGCCGACATTACGACCCTGGCGTTAGGACGCAAAGACCGGAGGAAGCCCCGAAAGCGTGGGAACACCTCAGGCAACAGTCGCCACGTGGAGCTGGACGCGCTAGGACGCAAAATCGTGAGGAAGCCCCGGATGCGAGGGAACACCTCAGGCACAAGTCGCCACGTGCCTCCTTCTCCTCCTTTTCCTCCTCCTTTTCCTTCTCCTCCACCCCCTCCTCCTCCTCCTCCTCCTCCTCCTCCTCCTCCCCCTCCGCCTCCTCCCCCCCCCCTCCTCCTCCTCCTCCTCCTCTTCCTCCTCCTTCTCCTCCTTCTCGTCCTCCTCGCCTCGTCCTGGCGTCGCCCCTCGACCCTCCAGGGAGATGTGCGCGGCGCTGGCCGCTGGAGCCTGGGGGGGGGTCCAAAGAGCCCCGCCACGCCGACGCCGCCCCTTCCCAGAAGGGGCGGGCGGCACGTGCTGGTCGGTCAGTGCCAAGGGAGTCACCGCTATAGGCCGGGGGCACCAGGTGCTCTTGGAATCTTGGATCGAGAATGAGGAGGAGGAGGAGGAGGAGGAGGAGGAGGAGGAGGAGGAGGAGGAGGAGGAGGAGGAGGAGGAGGAGGGGAGGAGGAGGGGAGGAGGAGGAGGAGGAGGAGGAGGAGGAGGAGGAGGAGGAGGAGGAGGAGGGGGGCATGATCGGTATCGAAGAAGGCTTGGGACGGCTTTCGGGCGTCTTTGGGGTGTCTTGGGAGACTCTGCGGGGTTCTCCCGACGCAGTGGTGACCCCCATGGGTTGTGCCTGGCTGCTGGGACGACCGCCACGTCCTTTCACTGCGAAAACACTCAAGACGGACGGTGTCGCCTCCTCCTCCTCCTCCTCCTTCTCCTTTTCATCCTTGTTTCCTTATCCAATCCTTCTTTCCGTCCCTCCTCCTCCTCTCCTCCTCATCCTCCCCTCCCTCCCTCCTCCTCCTCCTCCTCCTCCTCCTTCCTCCCCCCTCCTCACTCCACCTCCTCCTCCTCCTCCTCCTCCTCCTCCTCCTCCTCTTCCTCCTGCTCCCATCCTCGCCTCCTCCTGTCGTCGCCCCTCCACCCTCCAGGGAGATGTGCGCGGCGCTGGCCGCTGGAGCCTGGGGGGGGGGTCCAAAGAGCCCCGCCACGCCGCCCCTTCCCAGGAGGGGCGGGGGGCATGTGCTGGTCGGTCAGTGCCAAGGGAGTCACCGCTATAGGCTGGGGGCACCAGCTGCCCTTGGAATCTAGGATTGAGAAGAAGGAGGAGGAGGAGGAGGAGGAGGAGGAGGAGGAGGAGGAGGCGGAGGAGGAGGAGGAGGAGGAGGAAGAGGAGGATGAGGAGGAGGAGGAGGGGGGGATGATCGAGTATCGAAGAAGGTGTGGGACGGCTTTCGGGCGTCTGCGGGGTTCCCCCGACGTAGTGGTGACCCCCATGGGCTGCGCCTGGCTGCTGGGACGACCGCCACTTCCCTTCGCTGCGAAAGCACTCAAGACGGACGGTGTCGCCTCCTCCTTCTCCTCCTCCTCCTCCTCCTTCTCCTTTTCATCCTTCTCCTCCTCCTCCTCCTCCTCCTCCTTTCCCTCCTCCTCCTCCTCCTCCTCGTCGTCCTCCTCCTCCTTCTCCTCTCGGCTGATGCTTCTTTTCAGTTGTCGGCCTCCTGGGGCCCTTATTGGGCAAGAAACGATTCGAGATGACAAGCCGGCTCGAGGGAAGGGATCCAGACCTCGAGGGGCGCGCACCCTGCGAACAAAGCCACGGCGTCATAGTTCTGGGGAGGGGCCGAACTTGGAGGTTGTCGGACTTCTTGTCGCCCTTCTTGCGCCACCGGGGGCTGCTCGCCACAGCAGCCGGGCCCGCCTCAAATCAGGGCGACCGAGGTGGGTACGGAAAGAGTGGGCACAAAGACTGGCAGCATGTCCTGCTCATGTTGAACATGACCCGCTGTCGGTGTCGACACGGACGTTGTCCATTTGAGAAAGAGGGCCGCTTGTCCAACAGCGGCCGCTGTCGGTTTTGGACAACATTTATTGTTGGGCATCGTACCGAGTTCTTCCGTATCTATTTCGGGCGTCCAAATTCAAGTTTTGGCCAGATCACGCCCCAGGACGGGTCCGTGGTGCGACCTTTAACACCCAGATCCCAACCTCCACGCGTAGTGGACAAAGCTTGAGGTAAGGTTCTTGGAAGCCTCCGGATGCCCCTGGGAGATAGGGTGAGTTCCTGGAGGCCATCGGATGTCCCCAGGAGGTGTCTCTGGAGGCTTCGGGCGCGAGCCCCCCTAGAAAAATCCTGTTCATCTTTCCTCCTGCTTCCTCCGTATTCCGCATCCATCTTCCTTCCTCCTCGGTGCTCATCCTTCGTCCTCCTCCTCCTCCTCCTCTTCCTCCTCCTCCTCTTCCTCCTCCTCCTCCTCCTCCTCCTCCTCCTCCTCCTCCTCCCCATCACCATCATCATCCCCTGTTCCCTCCTTCAACCTGCTTCCTCCACCGCCATCCTGCTCCCTCCTCCTTACTCCTCCTTCACCCTCTTCCTCCGTTTCCTCATTCATCTACCATTCCTCCTCCCTCCCCCCTTCCCCCCTCGTTGCCCTTTCCCTCCACTGCTTCCCTCCTTGTCGTGTCGTTCCCCTTCCTGCGTCCTTCTCTCTCCTCCTCCTCCCTCCTTCCCTCCCTCCATCCTCCCTGCCTCCCTCCCTCCTCCCTTCCCTCCCCCCCCTCCTCCCTTCCCTCCCTCCCTCCTGTCGTCCATCCCCCTCCTCATCCTCCATCTTTCCCTCCCTCCTCCCTCCTTCCCTCCTCTTTCCTCCTCCTTCCCTGAGATCCGACGACGCGAAACACCGGGACAAATCATGATCGGAGCCCTATAGATCCCATCTTCCTGCGGCATTTTTCGAGTCGGATCGATCGGTGATGTCCCCACGGCCCGAGACCTGGCGAAAACGCCCGGCGTGCAAAAATGCAACGCCTGGATCTCCGTGTTCCTCCATCCTCCTCCTCCTCCTCCTCACTCTCCCTCCTCCTCCTCCTCCTCCTCCTCCTCCTCCTCCTCCTCCTCCTCCTCCTCCTCCTCCTCACTCCACCATTCTCCTCTCCTCCGCCTCCTCCTCCTCCTCCTCCTCCTCCTCCTCCCTCCTCCTCCCCCTCCTCCTCCTCCCCTCCTCACTCCTCCTCCTCCTCGCTCCTCTCCTCCTCCTCCTCCTCCTCCTCCTCCTCCTCCTCCTCCTCCTCGCTCCTCCTCCTCCTCCACCTCCTCCTCCTCCTCCTCCTCCTCCTCTCTCCTCCTCCTCCTCCCTCGCTCCTCCTCCTCCTCCTCCTCCTCCTCCTCCTCCTCCTCCTCCTCCGCCTCCTCCTCCTCCTCCCCCTCCCCTCCCCCGCCCCTCCTGCCTTCCCCTCCCCTCCACCCGAGGGGGTGGTGTGGGGGGTGTGGGGGGGGGCGGCGCGCCCCGAAAGGAGCGCTGCCGCGCCTGAGGGCCCTCGAGCTCGGCTGGAACGAGCTCTCCTCGGCGTGCGGGCCGTCGCTGGCACGCCCGCGGCCCCGTGAGGACGACGAGGAGGAGGAGGAGGGGGGGGAGGATGAGGAGGAGGAGGAGGAGGAGGAGGAGGAGGAGGAGGAGGAGGAGGACTTTTAGTGCGGGCCCAATAGGGCCCCCCAATCGCCGAAATTCGCCGAGTGCGAGGCGATGGCGCCGGCTTGCGCGCCTGTGTTTGGCCCCCAGGCGGCCCCCGCTTAGCCGCGCACCAAAGGTCACTCTTACCCAGGGTCGCTCTTGCGTGTAGCCGAGGCGAGGGCGAGCGGGGCGAGGACGGCTGGCACGTAAGGCTTCGGGTGGCGCACAGACGGTCCCCCCAGGCGCTCGTCTTAAGTCGAGCCTGTCCCTCTACAGGGGGAACGTTCAGAAATAGTCAAATAATAGTCTGGGGGCTATTTTTTGATTTTTGTTTGGCAACTTTGGGGTATGTTTTTACTATTTTTTATTTTTCGTCCAAAATCCCCCTGTAGGAGGACAGGCCAGACCTAACGCTCGTCTCTCGGCTGGACTCCACAGGCGGCCCAGAGTAGTCCCAGCTGGCCTCGCAAGACCCCCCGAGTAGTCCCGGGCGGTCTCAGCACCCCAGCCCTCTGGGGCGCGGAGCACCCCAGGGGGGCGCCGCCTGATGGGGGGCGCCGCCGGATGCGGCGCCAGGGTGTCGACCGCCCTGGACCACTCCGGGGGCCTGTTGAGACCAGCTGGGGCGTTGACTGTGCTCAACCCATAGCCTGAATGTCAGCTTGTGGTTCACAAATGAGCCCCCCCCCCGCGCCGATGAATAGACCCCGCGGGGCGCGAAACATTTTTTCATCGCGCGCGCCAGGGGGTTGTCGCGGGCACCGCCGAGGGGATCGTGGACCCTCCTGCATGACAGCCTCAAAGCGAATCCCTGTCGTATAGAAGTTGTTATAGGGGTCGTATACATCCGAGGCGAATTATTTTCCCCCTCTCAGGCGTCGTCGTCGTCGTCGTCGTCGTCGTCGTCGTCGTCGTCGTCGTCGTCGACTACAGCTGGCCTACGCAGCCCCCCCACCTCATGCGGCATCCACAGGTCGTCGTCGGCGTCGTCGTCACCGTCGACTGCAGCAGGCCTGCGCAGCCCCCCCCCCTCCCCGTAGGGCATTCGCAGTGCGTCGTCGTCGTCGCCGTCGCCGTCCGCCGTCCGTCTCCTCGTCCTCGTCCTCGTCTCGTCCTCCTCGTCCTCGTCCTCGTCGTCGTCGTCGACGACTACACCGGGCCCGCTCGTCGACGTCGTCGTCGTCGTCGACGACTGCAGACAGACCACTACAGACGGGGGGAGGAGGACTGCCCGCCTTCTCGCCGGCGGCCGGGCGTCGGCGCTAGTCACCGGCGCCGCCGCCGTTGTGCTTCAATTTGGCAGGCGCCACCCCCGCGATTCGCGCGAACGCGGAAACTTTTTGTTTAAATGTGCCCACCCCACGGATTTGTTTATCACAAGTTCACATTATTAGGAGAGGTTCGGGGAAAGTGTGGGTGGGGAGTCTGAAAAGGAAGAGGTGTTGATGCTCCTGCTCTTCTTGGAGGGAACTCGTCACCACGGCCGAGTTCCCCTCGAAGGTCTGGTCATAATGCGCCAGGGACAGATCTGAGGAGCAGCGTTTCGGAGCCTTTTTGCAATACTAGGGCGAAGGAGGGGGGGGGACAAACTAGGTGCGATCGCGTCATATCTGACGTCCTAACCCTCCCTCCCATGCCTTACCAAGGCGTAGGTTTCCTTTCTATTCGCACCGTTGGATGTCGGAGCACGGCAGAGCAGGGCGTAGAAGAACACGGCAAAGAGTAACATGCCATAGCCTAGCGTGGTGTTGCGAAGTGACGAACTCCATCACACAGCATTGCAACGCAAAGAATGGTATCGCACAGCGACACATAACACAACACCGCGCAGCATGTCATAGCATGGCGCCGGGTTCCTTGGAGGGTACGTGGATCGTCTTCGGGAGGTGTGGGCCGGTCTGGGGTCGTGGTTCCATGTTTTTGCTCCTTGGGCTCCCTGAAAAGCTCCAGACAAGGCAGGGTTGATGGAGAGCACCCGCTGGTTTTGCTTCCAACATCGCCTTCTCAAAGTAGAAACGAAAACGGTGCTTTTGCGGCTCCAAAAATCAACAAATCGACACCGAATGTGTATTCCCTTCCGATGGTTCTTTCGGGGGGCAATTGTTTTGATTCTGGGGCATGGCATCGCACAGCGGAACACATCGCATTGCATTGCACGCCGTGGCATGGCACAGGAAATAATGACGCCAACGCTGGAGCGGGAGCACGATTCGGAAAGAAGGGCAGAATGAGGCCACTGTTGCAGCGGGAACACGGGCTGGAACGAGCGGAAGCGCGGAAATGAGGCCAGCGCTGCAGCGGGAGCACGATTCGGAACGAGAGGAAGCCCGAAAATGAGGCCAGCGCTTCAGCGGGAGCAAAAAAGAAAACGAAAACCCAATTCCCGGGAATCTTGTGTAAAAAACAGTACGTGGAGGGGGGCCATACATTTTCCGGACGTCATCAGGGGAGAGGAGAGTAGTATCCGGATTGTTTAATTGTGAAGCGGGGGATGGCGGGGGGAAAGAGGAGAGGAGGGGAAGCTAGGTGAAGTCACGCCATATCCGTCCCATCGCGCTGTTTTTTAATCCGCCTCCGAGCCGTGTCATAGTGGACCTAGAACTCTGAAGAAAACTCCATCGTGTTATTCACAATCGGAAAAAGGGAGCTATGTATTCGGGAACGGTTTTTACTGCTGTGGGGGATCCCCCCCTACAGCCCTCGGTTGGCAATAAAAGTCGACCTTCGCCTCCTCGTCCATCCCATCATCATCCTCACCATCAGGGATCCTCATCCCCCCTGATCATCAGCAGTGGCCGCCGCAGGGGAATAATCATTTCTCCTGTATCGTTGTGAGTCCCAATCGTTCGAAAAAAACGCGCATCTAATGATAATGTCTCCAATGTTGGCGTGTTGTTTGGACCTTTTTGCGGCTTCATTGGAGGAGGAGGAGGAGGAGGAGGAGGAGGAGGAGGAGGACGAGGTGCTGGTGGTGGCGGCTGAGCAGGAGGATGAGCAGGAGGAAGATGCGAACAGCAGCAGCAGGAGCTGGAGTGGAAGGATCGGGAGGAGCAGGAGGACACGGGGAAGGCAAATCAGGGGACTTGACGGGGGTGACAAAGATGAACAAGGACTCGGATCTAGAAAAGTCTTTCTGAACGACGGGAGCAAAACACCGATTCGAAAGATGAGGCCCACGCTGCAGCGGGAGTACCCTCTTGAAACACCGAAAACAGCCGGGTTGTAAACTACCATAAGAACAACCAGTGCTTGAAATCCAGTGTGAGAAGAGCAGTGTTCGGAGAGAGCCGAACATCTTACGGGCCGAGTCAGGGGAGAGAGGGAAGTAGTCTTCAGACTGTGGCATTGTGGAGGGGGAGGTGGGGAGATGGGAAGGGGGAGGGGCGTGGGAGGGGAAGGAAGAAGTGGGAGGGAGGGGGGGGAGGGGATGATGGGGTGGGGACGAGAGGGGCGTGGGAGGCGGTCGGCGTGGGAGGAGAGGGGAGGAGAGGGGGCAGGGAAAGAGAGAAAGGCGGTGGAAGGGACGAGGGGGACGGGAACGGGAGGCGAGGAGAGGGCGAGGGATGCAAAAAGGGACAAGAGGAGGGAAGCGAAGGGCGAGAGGCGGAAGGAAGGGGGAGGAGAGGGCGCAAGCGCAAGGGGGGGGGGCAGGCCAGAGCCGGGGCCAGCAGTCCTCGGGGGGGCCGGCCCCTCGGACACATCGCTGTCCTGCTCGTCCGCATCACGTCTTCCGGCTCACAAGCTCACAAAGTGATGCTTTGCTACAGTCGGGGCGCTGAAGAAGGAACCCTTTTCGTTGTGGAGGAGCTCGGTGTTTTTTTAAGTATTCCACACCCTGCCTGAGGTGTTCCTTAGGTTTTCGATGGGGAGTCGAAGTTGAACTTATGAAAAACAGGGCCTCGTTCCTTATTTAGGGTTCCTTAGGTCAACGCCTCGACAGTATGCTGCCTCGAGTGTTTTTTCGCACGAGCTCGCAGGAAAGAAGGGAAGTGCCAAGGTAGTTGGGGAATGCGTTGCCCGCCGCTCTCGAAGCCAGCTCTGCCCTGCGCCGTCCCAGCCGCGTCACCCCCACCGCACTGGTTGCCACCGCTCTCTTTCCTCCCTCCTCTCCCTCCTCATCTTCGTAGAGCTGTGAGGCGCAGGTTCCCAGCCGGCCGGCTACCACTGAAGACTGTGCTGTTGCTCTTCTGTCCCTTCGGCCGGTGTCCGTCAGAGCTTTTGCGGGGAACTGCCCCCCGCGCCTTGCCTCGTCCTTGCTTCCACGTCCTCTCTCTCTTCCTCTCTATCTTTCCCTCTCTCTCTCTCTTTCCGCGTCCTCTCCCAAGATCCTGCCGCGCGCGCTGCGGGCCGTGCTTGTGCCCGCCAGGCTTCGCTCCTGACGGGGCCAAGAGGCGATGAGCCGGAGGCGCCCCCGCGGACGCTGCAGAGGCTCGGGCTGAGCGGCAACACGCTCGGCTCGGAGGGCGCCGAGGTCGCGTGGGCGGGGGGGTTGCGAAAGAAGAGGCCACCAGACGGTTTCTCGCTGTTCGGACGGCGTGCGTTGTCACTGCACTGTTGTTCAAGAGCTCCCAGGACCACGGCATGGCTGCTGGAGTGCTGCGGAGGGCTCGGAGGGGATCGAGATGCGAATGCTCAGAGGCGCGTGAAGTTGTGACCTCGGGTTCGGCCGTTGCCAGCCCCCCAGACACACATCGTCTGAATTAACCAGGAGCTGGACTTTGCCTCCCAAGTTTGGGAAACTGATCGCAGATTGCATGGCAGGCCTATACAGGGAACACGCGTTACAAGTGCCGAAGTCCAATTCCAGTGTTACCAGTTGTTCATCGCCTTGCTCATCGCCCCAGGGCCTTTGCTCATCACCCCAGGGCCGAGGGCCAGCAACGTCCAGAAAAGATTACGGCGTCAAAGAGACGAGTAGAGTCAGGGCTGTTCGACGAGACCTCCAAGAAGGTTGCGGAAGGAAGAGGGGTGGCGCGGTGCCGCGCCGACTTGCGCAGAGTCGCAGGGGTGCAGCGCTCGAGTGTGCTGAAGGTGTTTGCGTGGGATCCTCACCCTCGTTGATCCCAGACGCCTCGGGCAATGAGAGAACGCCCTCCCAGACAAGCCTACTGAGGAATCTGAAATGGTTCACTCGACATCGATATTCGAGTGTACAGGTGCAGTACCCAGTCGGTTTCGCTAATCGACGTGCGTTTCGGCATATGCATTCACTTGTTTTGGACGTCGATTAGCTACCCCGCCCGGATCTACTCGGAATGCGGTGCCGCGCGCACGTGGATTGTGCTTGGCAGTTGTCACTCAAGGGCATTTTGCTAGAGGGGATCCCGTCCACCCCAGGAGCTCATCCTAGCCGCACCGACATGCCGCTGGACCCTTTGAGTGGCAACGCGCCGCATGATCCCTCCAGGTGGGGCATCCTTGAAGATGCTCGTTCGGCTGCCCTCGCTTGGCCCCGTGAGCTCCGCCGTCGAACCCGGCACGCGAGGGGCCGCCCTGGTTCCGTCACAGCAGCATCCGTGTCTCAGTTTTCGGGTGGCGGGCCCAAGCACGGGATGCTGCTTGATGTGCTTTGAAGCAGTGGCTGCGCTGAGGGCTGCCTCTCTCGTGCTCTCCCTTCCCTCGGAGTGGCCCCTACTGATGGGGTGGGCCTCGCACTTGCCCTCCGTCGCTGCCACTCGGCGGTGCGCCGAGAGGGGAGGTGAGAGGAGCCAGGCCTCTTCAGAAGGGGGCGGGGCTTCTCAGAAGCCCTCCGGCCTCCTGAGAAGCCCCCTGCGGTGTCGGAGCAGACTCAGGCGGCTTCTTGGAACCTGGGCTTATGATGCTCCAACCGACTTTAGCCTGGATCACCAGAAATAATTTCGAGCGCCAGAAAAAAAAACATCGAAACTCGATGGTTTTCGCGTGTCGGGCCCTGGGAGACACTCGTTCGACGCTCTTTTGACACTCCTTCGACACTCTTTCGACACTGTTCTGGGTGCTCGAATACATTTCTGGGGTGTGGTCCTTAGAGTACGACGGGAGCAACATAACCCCGGGCGCGCCGCCGAGCCGGGTTTTTTCGTTGGCCCACATCTGGCCCTCGAGCCTGCCCGCCATCCCCGCCAGCTTCTCGTGCTCATCTCATCCCAGTCCGCCAGGCATCCTGTGAGTCCACTCTGGCGGCGCGCACAAGGGGGTAGGTGGAGGGGGGAAGGCTTCTTAGAAACGCCCCTGCTTCTTAGAAGGCGCGGGCCTTCTTTGTAGATGTAAGGCCGGCGCCTTCTAAGTTGCAGCCTCCTTCTAAGAAGCCTTCCCCCCTCCCCCTACCCCCCCTGTGCGCGCCGCCAACCACTGGCCTTTCTCAGAGTGAGGGGGCCGAGCGGCCTGGCACCATCCCTGGATGCGCGTCTGTGAAGTGGGGCTCCGTGGCCCGCATTCTGCTCGGTTGCTGTTCGTTGTTCCCTGTTTGTTGTTTATTGCTGCTTCACCAGCCTCGAACTTATCCCTATCCCTAAGATTGACACGCCAAAAGGCGATGACAATCTTAGGGGTCCGCCCTCAAAAAATAAGGGAATTCCTAAGATTGCCATCGTGATGAGGGGATGCCCAGCATAGGGATGGGGATATGTTCCAGGCTGGTAACTGCGGTCGTCGTCGTCCCATCCGCGACCGCCCCGCGACCCACTTCGCGGCCCAGCTGCGACCCAACCCTGCGACCCACCCCAGGTCGGCCCGCCCGACGTCGCACGCTCATCCGCAGTTGCTGGGGGCTGGAGGCTAGGAGTCCAGACTCCTGAGAGTGCTGAGGGGTCATCCTGTCCCCTCGGAGGGGATTCATGCGAATGCGTTCGGATCATTCTTGGAATCTCCTTCCTTGGAAGGGATCCATCTGGTTCCTGAGAACTCGTCCCCCCCCCGCCCCCCTGTTGCCAGATGCTCTCGTCCCACCCATGCCCTCCTGCCTGCCCTCCTGCTGGCCTCCACCTTTTGCGTTTCCTCGCGCAGCCAGGTGCCAGGGTAAATTTCGCTCCGATCGATCCGATTCTACATCGACTCCGGCTGGCCTGATCCGCGAGTGGTGAGGCGGCAAATCTCAGTGCGCTCCAGGGGCCTTGACCCATTGGACTTGGTGGAGGAGGAGGAGGAGGAGGAGGAGGAGGAGGAGGAGGAGGAGGAGGAGGAGGGGCAACACTTTTCATGGTCGGATGCCCTCTGGGGTGGGTTCGTTCCTGCATTTTTCTGGTGACAGCGGGAGGTATTGATCGCGGCCGCTGTCAGCGAGCCGGCGCGAGTCTTGGATTTGGACCTCTCGATGAACTATGTGGGAGCATCTGCGCTCGGCAAGTTGGCGGAGTGGGCCAAGGAGTGCACATGTGACCGCTTGGCTGTATCCATAGGTCTCGAGTGGAACGACATCGAGGATACAGGGAGCAGAAGTAAAGGGCATGGTGATCATATTGCTTAGGATTTTGCGTAAACCAGACGCAGAAACCTACCCAAGACAGCCAAGAGCCTGTCCTGCAGGTCATGAGCATTCAGGCCGCATCATGCCCTCCTCCACTTCACCCTCCGACCGTCCCACCCCTTCCGTTCTCAGATAGGGAGCTGGTTATGTATTGATTGGGCCCCGAAGCCCCCCAAATTGGCCAGAATCACGAGGCCACGTCTGCCGTAGCTGGTGTTTCTTCGGGTGACGGCAGTTCTGGTTCGTGGCTTGGGGCGGGGGCATCCCCCGGTACCCGTCACGAAACCAGGTCCCACCAAAGCCAGTCTTGCCAACGCCCGATCAGAGGCGGCAGAGTGGAGGAGAGGACCCTTCGAACCAGGCTGGGACGAAGATAAAGCCGTTCCAGAGCATTCTGGAACGCTCGCAGAGCGTTGCGGAACGCTCTGAGAGGGCCGCGGAGTCCGACACTTCCTCCAGAGCCGCCGGATCTCAGAGATTCTCGTTTTATCCTCACCCCTGGCTTCGTCTCAGGGGCGCGAAGGCGCTCGCGCCCCGCGCGCCGCGGCCCAGGCGATCATGGAGAGCTGCCCCCCTCTCCAGGCTGGCGGCGCGAGGGGGCGTCCAGATGCCCGCGCGCCGCTTCTGGCGGCCGGCGCAGAACGGGCCCTGCCTTCGATCGGCGGCGAGCGAGGGATGAGAAGGAGGAGGAGGGAGGATTGGCGGCGAGCGACGGGGGGACGAGGACGAGGAGGAGGAGGAGGACGCGGAGGAGGAGGAGGAGGAGGAGGAGGAGGAGGAGGAGGAGGAGGAGGAGGAGGAGGACGAGGTACGAGGACGAAGGGAGGAAGGGAGAATAACACGAGGAAGAGGAGTAGGAGGAGGAGGGAGGATGAGGAGGACGAGGACGAGGCGGGGGAGGAGGAGCAGGGCAGGAGGAGGAGCGGGAGGAGGAGGAGGTGGAGGATGCTGAGGAGCAGGAGGGAGTATGAGGATGAGGATGAGGAGGAGGCAAGAAGGAGGTCCCCCCGGCGAAGACCCGAGAAGGAGAAGGCCTTCTCAGCAGAGGGCAGGCGGGCGGGAACTTCTCATAGGCCCCGCCCGCCCCCCCTTTTTTGTCCCCCCCCCCTGGGAGGAAGTTCTTTCCGTCTTCGGGGGAGGCTCGGAGAACTCCCCAGAAGGCCGGCGCACCTCCGAACCTTCTGGGAGGGCCTTCTCCTTCTCATTTCCCCCCCCTCGCTCGCCGCCGACTCGGGGACCGTAGAGCCCAGGCCCCCTCGGGCAGTAGAAACAGATCACGACGGCAGGTATTGTGTTACTTATTCCCGGCCTCTGGTGGCCCTCGCCGGGCCTCCGGGCCGTCAAGAAGCGACCCCGGACGAGGAACTGATCCCGGGGAGTGGGTCGAGACCTCTGAGGGGTCGGCGTCATGAAAAAATACGGTGGGGGCCTTGGTTGAGGAATGCGCCCAGGAGGCTTCAGACCCTGGAAGATTCCTTATCTGATGAGGGTGGTGGTGATATCCATGGCCGAGCCTCGCTTGGAGTTCCACAGGTCTCGAGACCCTGGATTCCTTCCCTATACGACTACCCTGCGGGTGATAAGGAGGTTTGGGGGGGAGGGGGCCAGCAATGGGCAACAGTGGTGATTGTTGTCCTGACGATGCCAGTGGAGATCGTTGCGTTGCCGCTCGCTCCTGGGAGCCTTGGTGTCGAGCGGTCCACAATCGATCTCACTGTCGATCTCACTATCCATCCCACTATCGATCCCACTATCGATCTCGCTATCGATCTCACTATCGATCTCGCTTTCGATCTCACTATTCATCTCACTATCGATTCCACTATCGATCTCGCTATCGATCCCACTCGATCGATCTCACTATCGATCTCACTATCGATATCACGGTCGATCTCACTATAGATCGCACTATCGATCTCTCACTATAGATCTCACTATCGATCTCACTATCGGTCTCATTATCGATCTCACTATCGATCTCACTATCGATCTCACTGTCGATCTCACCACGGGACACCGCGGGACAACGACGGGACACCGGCGGGACACCAGCGGGACACCAGCGGGACACTTGCGGGACATCGCGCGCCACTGGTTGCCAGGCAGAGAACCTTTTGGTCCAGC